AGTAGCGTCCGATCGCTCCGTTCGTAGCGATGCCCTTTGCTCCTGCCTGGTTTCCCATGCAGGGCCAACTCGGTCTTTCACCCGGCCTGGACCAGATGGTAGCCTGGTAGCCAGCCAGAACGCGCTGAGGACAAGGTGCCGGAACAGTTGCGCGTTGCTTTCACAGAGCAGTTCAAGAAGATCTTAGCCGTTTGGATGCGCGAAAGGCATTCTTGCTCTAAGATGGAAGCAAATCAAAAGTGTTGGAGGTACAGTTTCAATTCTGTGGCGTGGTTTTTGCCAGCTGAAGATTGGGCTTTCGTTCCTTCAAACTGTCATGACTTCGTGGAACATGTCCTGAGCAGCAGAAGAGAAGAAAAGGCTTGACCGTTGATCCCCTGTTCTACCTGCTTTTTTGTGGATGGACCCGCTTACCGACGTCGTAATTTTTCAAGAACGATCCCGGATCAACTCGAGAATCCACCACCCATATTTTCTTGCCAGTCATGCAGCTTGCTGCATGCTGTTTGGGTTTGGGTGGTATTGACCCATGCTACGTACGTTGTCCCACCGTGGGACGTCTCCCTCTCTCGACAGCTGAGGCCGCCCGAGACCTGCTGCTGTCGCGCGAGTGACCAGAAAAGACCCGCTGTGAGGTGTGGGCGACCATGGGAGAGCAAGGAGGCACCGTGTGCGCTGCAGGTTCAGTTCTTTCCATCCTATCCCTTTGACGTGGTTAGAATGTTTCTAGTTGAAAGATGTTTATACCTTGTTCAATTTTGAAATCATGTCTTTGAACCGAGAGACAATGGGTTCCAGCAGTTCCCGGCAGTTTCAGAGGCTTGGTTTTAAGTCCCTAAGTGCCTGGATCATTGGGACTTCCTGCATCCTCATCCTCCAATGGGAACCCGGAACTTCCGGGTTTTTGCACGGCCAAGCCAATTTCTGACACTTGTAGAGCAAGAGATGATCAATGTTCAGGGTCATAGCGTGTATCAGTGTATCTTGGAAGATTGCCAGCCTTCCACTGGCATGAAACTGTGGGAAGTACAAAGGCCGCCTGAAGGCCGATCCTGCCTCATCTCCATGACTCCCTCAGAGACCGACATACCACGACGTAACCACCGCACCCACGCGGATGACGACCCACCACCCGGTCAGGCCCTCGGTCGCGCGGGGGCACCGGACGGACTCTCGGCGCGTTCGTCCTGAGGTCATTGCACGCTTCATCGCCGACGTGCCAGATGCCTGTGTCCGCTGCAAGGCTAGGTCCGGTCTGGTCCGCCTTGGCGGTTTGCTTCAGCCGACTCCAGGTTCTGGAGGTTTTTGGGTGGGTCCAAGCGTTTACTCAGGTGATTTGTGATTTGATTCAAGACCCTTTCGTTCTGGGCTTGGGTAACCTGAGAACATGACATAGACCATCACAGATGAAGTTACTTAGTGTTACTTGTTGATTTTGGTTCATGCAGTTGTCAGGCCAGGAACATGTGTTGGTTAGCTCCCATACATGCAGATACGGATACGGTTGATCGCATGACGGTTCAGGTGAAGATGGATATGACATGGTATTGTCACCGGCACGTCTTCGATGTTCACCGGCTTCTGCCATCGACTTGTCGAGCCACGAAGAAGAGGAAAGCCTGGAAGGTTCTTTGACATGTGTTTGTTTGCCACTTCTTCTCAAATGTCCACTTCAAAAACCGGCGTCCCACGCTCTAAGAATCTGTTTCTTGATCATCCGATCACCCGAAATCAGCACACACCACCAACCGGAAAGCGTACCCAGGAGAGGAAGCTCCAACCAGGGGGCTCCACTCGTTTAGATGTTTGCTGTTGTACTATGTTGTACTCGTACCTCTACCACTTAGGCTTCTTGGTTTTTAGGGAGGCCTCGGTTGCATCAACAGATCTTCAGCAAGAAAATCCCAACGTGCCTATGGGCATAGGCGAAGGCAAAGTGGCGGAAGGAAGGCTATGAAGCTTGGCCAGAAGCTGGAGATTTCTGTACTCCGTAGTCGATTTCTGAGCATAATCATTTATTCTGCTATAAATGATTCTACCGATGACCCTGGGTAGTATTAGCTGGAAGAGCACTACCCTTTCCTGGAACATAAGCAGAATCATGGTTTATCAAGATCTATGGGGCTTGTCCAGAAATTTTGAGGGCAGGAGAAAAATCCACTTGGCTCCCCTTCTGGGAGGCGAAGCTCTGCTCCCGCGTTCCAAAACGCTTGGTGTTCCCCACGCTCCGGCCCATTTGACCGTGTGGCATTCGCGCTGGCAAGCAGCGTGTCAAATAAAGCAAACCCCGGAAGGGAGGGGGTGCAAATCATTGGTTATAGCTAGTTGTCTTGTTGTAGGGACTCTGTACATGTTTCATGTTGTATCCGGAACGACGCAAGCAAGGTGACGTTGATGCCTTCAACGGTCCAAGAATCCGAAGTGCATGTTCCTTTCAGCGCTAAAAAGAGAAACACTGTGAGAGACACAGGATGAAATGAAGATAATAAATAAAGATAAATAGAGTATAATAAAGTATTGTTCACCGTGCACAGTGATTCTTCAAGATGTGTACAGTATGTTCTTGTTGACTGTAAACTAGGAGCAATCACACACACACACACACCTAGCAGTCAGAAGAAGCACCTGGCAGGAAGATGTGGATGACCAAACCCCCACCCTCCAAGTCAGCGAGCTTTACCCTTTTTGAGCCTTTTTGATTCAAGTAAGCAAAGATATGTAAAGATAGATAGATAGATAGGTAGATATAGATAGTAAAGATCTTTGAGATAACCATGACCCGGTGAGACCCCAAATGATTCCAACAAAAACGCCAGACGGCTTCCCAAACCTATAGGAACCTGATAGATTGACCTCCCTCCTAGTCGATTCTGTTCATTTTGGGTGGTCCACCGGGGTGTCCCGGTGCGACCCACAGCCAAATGATCTCTTAGGAAGCCTTGTTCGTGAAGCCGGACAAGAATAGCCAGGACAGTCGGCCCTCGAGCTCGGCTGCCGCCGCGACGTCCCAGGGTGACTGGTTGCGCGGCCGTGGCAACGGTTTTTTGTTGGTTTAGACAGTTTAAAGCTCAAACAGGAGAATGGGAGCTTCCTTAGCTTTTGGTCTTGAGTCTTGACATCATGGAAACGTACAAAGATCCATAAAGGCAGAGCTGCGAAGCGCGGTTCCAAGTTATTTTGCGGTGGGCGCCATACCCCCACAGAGCAACACGTGTTTCATGTTACATGTTCTTCAATCGCTGTGGTTTTGTTTGTTTGTCCCTGCATGTTCTAGCACCCAGTTTCGGTGCTTCTCTTGGTTTGGTTGCAGCATTTGCACTTCATTGGCATTGGCTGCTTGCTGTTGGCTGCTTCTCGAAAACGGCTTCACGGCTTCTTGGTTAGCCAGCACTTCCCGCATGCGCATCCAACTAATTGTTCACTTCCCGCTTGCAAGTCGAGCCTGCTACATGCTCCCCGAAATCAATTGCTACTGCGTCACAGTCAAACTTCCAACCTATTTGCTTCCCACCAACCGTCGGAAAGAACACGAATAACAGCACTGTGAATGAAACATCCTTGCACCCAGAGTAATGAAACATATATATATATATAGTGAAATGCATGTTCCGGCTTCGATGTTTGATGGTGGGTGCAAAATGTCATTAGACTATTATAGGCCTCCAAATCATCTATTATTTTTCTTGGGGTTTGTGTGGATGTCTCATGTTCCCCCATGGGCTCACAACGGCGGTCACACGGCTCACAGGTCCATTTGATCTCTTGAGGCGCCCAATCCTCGAAGCCTCAGGAGCTCTTAGTCCTTCCGACCTACGCCCGTGAGCTGCTACAGCACCTCGGACCACGGGTGGACGGGGGCGGATCCGCGACGGAAACCACTGTTCGGACGGAGGACGACCGGCCAAGACAGACATCAGACACGCGTGTGCTTGATAGGGTCAGGATGGACCAGGACGTTTTAGCCGGAATTGGTGCGGGAACCTTGCTTGAGATCACTTGGGGTCCCCAGAGTGATCAGAACGTTCAAGAACCTGGGCGACATGGACGCCGTCCCGGCGCATTGGCAATGCTGTCGGCCAAGAAGTGTCCAACAGGAGTTGGTGGCGCCGAAGGAACCATTGGAGGCATCCATATTCCTCGATAATATTCGATGAGAAGGAAGAAAGGACTAGTGAATGAGTTATGGCCCGGCATCCATGATATAGTGCTTCACAGCTGCTACAACCCTTCGGCCTTTTCTCGGTCCGGGTGGCTGAGTCACTTAGGGCTTTGTGGAAAGAAGAGGCAGCGGTGCTCAGGCAGGACTCGATTCCGATGCCTGTGATGTGCGGATGCTGTGGTAGGCACAGTCGTAGGAGGGGGAGACATGTCTCGGAAGACCGAGAACATCAGAGACAAAATGCCCTCAATACTTGGAGAATGAGTGGATGTTCAATCAAAAGAGACATTGGTGCACTCGTTAAACAACCATCCTTACGAGCCCGCAATTACAGAGTAAGATAGCACACAGCACCAAAATCATCACCAGCATCGAAGATGGAATATGGAATTCAAGGACCATTGCCCATTGCCATGTCCAGTCAAACCTCCACCAATATCACTGTTTGTCTAGTCTTGCTTGTTGGAGCCTGTATAGTCTTGTTTGTTTGGTTGGGTAGATTCCGTGGGCTCAATGACAAGATGGCACGCCCTAGCAGAACAGCGTCGAAGAATTCGCTGTCGTGTTCCGCAGTCGTTTCGGCCAGAAAGGGCGCAGTGAGGCCCAAAGCAAGTACCTTCATGCAAAAACTGGGCCAAAGTCATGCTGTTTCACTTGCATGTAGCATTACACTACGCCCAATAAATACTCCAGATTCAAGAGAGTACTCTATATAGCGACATCGGGAAAAAAAGTTTTAATTAAAAAAAAACACTCTTCCAATGATTCTTTCAAAGCCCCCAAGGCTATTGGGGGTACCCCAACTGGACCAGCTTGGACGCCTCTTCGCGCCACACACGCCATGGATGAGACGCCCCGCTCCACCCGTTCCTGGACGTCGCGAACCTTGGGACCCATGCGCCTCGGTGCTGGTTGGCGGTTCCTGGCCGCGGGTTCCGGAACAGGTCGGTGGCAGGCGGAGGCAGACAGCCAGTTGGGTCAAGGATGATGGTAGATGGTTGCATCCAGAGGGTTTCAGAGCAAGAGAAATATGAATAACGTTCATTTTGTAAGTGATCTGGAAAGTTCCACCCCAGAAAACCGGGACATTATGGTAGAATCGTTCAGACGGATTTGCAAAACACAAATAAGAAAAACACGTCCTCACACCGACGGAGCTCAATGGACTTTCCCCTTCGCCCAATGGATGGCGACGGACAGGGCGTGTGGGGAGACCGTCAGTTAGAGCGGACTGTCCAAGTTTGCCCTGACCAAAGTTGTTCTTGATTCTTGGATGTGCCTTACGGCCCAACTCTCAAAAGGAGGTTGGGACGTGGCCAGTAAGAAACCATCGTAAGTAATGCAGTAGTTGAACCGATGGGTGCAAGATGGTGCAAGGATCATTCACTAGGGTCTATGGACCACGGAGTTGCTATCACCTTCAACAAATGAATCAGGGAACAAGAGAGCATGGCAAGAGCTATGTTCGAACGTTGAGGACTTGGCACTGTTGAGTAGACGTCAAGCCGATACTCTAGTTTCATGGCTGGATGGTTGCTCATGTTGCTAGGAACAGGAAAGTATCATAGAGTTTTCTTGTTGGTAGTTCGACACCAAGGATATCATTATAGATGCAACCACTGAAACCATTCAATCCCTCCAAGTCAATGACCTGGTTAAGCTTGTTCAATTAGAATTGGAGATAATGATCACTATTTACTCATCTATTCGAACCTAGTGTGTCCCATTGATGTACCATTATGATAATACATGCCTGTTCATCAACGCCAATGATGTCCAACGCCAATCCTTTGAACCTGGCTGAGCCAGGCCCGAATGAGCTCGGGTTTTCGGTTTCTGTGTGCAGATTAGGGACACCTAGAAGCATAGACTCCCAAAAAGCACATCCCATGAATATCATCCCTGAAAAAGCCTTATAGCAGCTTGCTGCACAGTGTTGCACCCAACAAGAAACAAATAGGGCTTCACCGCGCGGCAGCCCTCGCCTGAGGAAGCGAGGATCCTTGAGGGGCTCTATCTTTACGCTGATGTCCGCAGCCATAGGCCCCGCCGCTGAAGACCACTTCAACTTGCGGTCCGAACTCGGTCGACAGTGACGGGCGTTTGGATGGACGTTCGAAGTGGGTGAAGCGGTTCATGGATTGCTTTGAGCTGCTTAAGTCCGTTCTTTTTTATGTTTTGCATTGCTACTAGGCGCAAGGACGCTACTAGGGGCTCCTGGCATCGCTACTAGGAGCAAGAAGCTACTAGGGGCTCCTGGCCTTACTACTATAGGAGCAAGGACGCTAAGATTGTTCTGAACGTTGCCAGTTGAACATCGGTTTGCGGTGTTTGCATCTCAGACGGGTTGTGTGTCGACGGGTTTGCGCAGGTTCGGGCGTTCTATTGTTGCCCTATGCATTCAGTTTGGTGGGGGTGCCTGTGGGCATTTTGACTTTGCTGTTTGGAACATACTGTGCCCTGGATGCAATTAATATGCCTTTGGATGCATACTCGTACGATATCATACGACCAACAACCCCAACATTAAAACTTCCTTTTCGGCCCTTGGATGCCGCTGGTGTACTATGGCACTAGACATTCCTGTTGCAAACTAATTCAACTAATGCTGTAACTAGAGCGACAAAAGTTTGCACTAATTCGAGTAACGAAGCTTCATCCTTGATATTCACCGAATCACCAACAGTTCCGGGGAGGAATTAATTCACCCAGAAATGGGGCGTTTGGAGTAGTTTTTGTTGTTTTTTGGGGGCGGGGGGGGCGATTGTTGCATACATGGATGTCTAAGAGTCTTACGTGAACTCTTTGATGGTCTTTGATGTGTTTTACATTGGAAGGTTCCCAAGGAACTGAAGCTTCCATGTTTCAAGTTTCATCAAGTTTCCATACGTCTCCCAGGTCCTGTAAGCTTCCAACATCTTGGAAGAACCTGCACTCTCTTCCTTATACAAGACTATGATACTTAACATAGACACTGATACAGGATCCCTTGTGGAGCCTCGATATTTTTTGGCGGTTAATGTTTGCACGCCCCATACCAATCCGAGGCTTAGCCACATCCTTGCGATTGATCATCACCATTTCGCACATCACAGGCGATCAGTGCAGCCCAGGGCATGGTCACCGGTCGTTCTTCCATATGTTTGTCCTTCGACTGGTCCATGAGGGGTTCCTCATCCATGAGGAATTGGTTTCATGGGCCCTGAGTTTTCGGAGTTTCCGGTGTCATCGCACAACAAATGGTTGTGATATGTGTGATTGGTTTCATTCACTTCTTTTGGTGTAGATATGTGTGTCTTCATGTTTCCTCAAGATGCACTACGCCGAAACACATGCTTGCATTATCCTGCATATTGTATGTGAGTGGATGGGCGTGGTCGGTGACTGACAAGGCAAAGCTTCGCTTAGCCAGGAAAGCCTCGCTGCTTCGCGGACGCAGCATTTGTAAGAGGTGAACTCACCTGTTTTTTTCTGAAGGATACTATGTAATAATAGCTAAGTGTTCTTGAAGAAAGTGGGTCGAATTCAGCACACCCGTGCCCGGTCATTGGTAATTATTGAAGAGGACGGGATCCTTTCGCACTGTTTCGAAACAACTTGAGACATTGGGAGGAACCCGAAGTAGATAAACACCACTTTTTGTAGAGGAAGCTTGTTGGCTCCCGTAATGATAATTAGTGAGAATGCATAATGTATAGCTGCGTGCAGCTGTCTCTTTCATGAGCACTATGAACAGTCTTCCAAGAGGCCATGGGTAGCTCACTTCTGTCAGTGCTTGTGGGAGGGGTGGCAGGGAGGGTAGATCATCAATGGTGGTAGCGGACCATTTCTTCTTCAACAATCTGGGGAAGGACGCCCGAAGACTGATTCCAATGTAAAACCTGCTATATAATATCCAGGAAGACTCTTCTGCCCATGCCGATGCCTCGCATTTTCACCTACATGGGTTCCTGTGCTAATACTCGTCCATACTGAACAATGTGTCCTACTCTGAAATTCTGCACATCTTGCCGTGTTCTTTTTTCCTGGCGGAAGGATGCCAGTCTTAGATGGTTTCAGGTCGGTTCAACCCATCCTGGGACGGGTCGTCAAGGCCGGGATTCCTATGCCAAGAGCGCGATCGAAGTGCTGGGCCCTGTGGCAGGACACCGGTGAAAACCTGCTTGCGAGCACGAGGAGGGCTCACGAGGTCTAGCCTTTCCCATTGTATCATTGGGGTTCATTGCATTTCACTGCCAATGCCCGGGTTTGTTTGGGCACGATGGGCTCCTTGCAATATTGCCCAGCAAGTCCTGTCCTAGTGGCCTAGTCCCACCAACAGAATCAAGCAGAACACACACACACACAAGGGTGCATTTTCGCCTCATGAGGAATCCCAAGGTTTATGTGAATCAACCACACACTGGGCGTGGCACTCGGATGCTTTTCCTGGGCCCGAAAGGACCCAACCAAAGATTGATAAACGAAGTCCGAGCAACAACTGCATGCCAAAGTCTAGTGTTTCCCCATGGTTCTTTGATCACCTATAGGAATGCAAAAGCATGCAAAACCAAAGTGAGGCTTCTGGATCAAGGGAGAGCAAAGCTTGAAAATGGATGAAGGTCTAACCGTTCAGCGTCATTTGCAGAGTGTTGGAGAAATCCTTGGGGGAGACCATAGTCTTGGGTTTTCTATCGCGAAGCAACTTGCATGTCATTGACAGTGACCTCCTTGTTTGGGTCGGTGTTCAAAACGCACCATTTGTTCACGACCGACAGTGCAGATTGACTGCCGACAGTGCTTTCAGAAGCGGGTCCATCCGCGTTCAGTGCAGGACGTGGCTTGGCTTGCCTCATGGTGGGTGAGGCTCTGTGCGGGCAGGCGCCGCGGAGACAGTGGAGCGAAAGGCTCCACAGGGCTGGATGAAGCCCAAACTGCCCGGATGAGTGCAGAGCAAGTGCTGCAAGTGACGTCGTTTCGGCAGTAGCTAGACTCAGCTAGACCACCACATCATTATCTTCCCAGAATGAATGTATGGTTGGGTAGGGCCATGTTGGAATTTGAAAAAGTGTTTAAACTCCTGATCTTGATACCATGTTGGCTCAAGATCGGGAGTGAATACCGCTTTTGGATATTGTTCTTTTTGAGCACAATCCCACACACACTTGACTTGTATAGTAGGTGACTTGACAGATTCCCCAGACAGTTGTATGGGGTTTCGTACGGAGCGGAGGGTCGTGCTTTGCACGTTGGGATCCAAAGGGTTCCATGGGTGTTCGGTTCCAAAGGGTTCCATGGATTTCCCCTACCCCGAATGGCTCCCCTGGAGGCCGCCTTCATCAAGTTCTTGTCCGATCTGTGGCCCCGCGTGCCCTTTGGATCCGGTGAACTCACGGGAGAACACGGATCCATGTGACCATCCCACACCGAAGGCCCGTGCTCGCCACAAGAGACGCCCGATGCTTCCAATTTGCCGTGGTTTGGTCTCAAAAGAAGTAAACTCGTCCTTGTTCACGGTGGTATTTGGCTGGATTTCAGGTTGAAGGCGATGTTTGTGTGTTTTAAGTAAGGCACGTTTTGCATAGGTCCCACATCCAAGGTCCCTGCCACTGCCAATCAAGCCAATGACTTCCCAACTTAGCATCCCAAGTGCTTGTTGGGATGCTATTTACACCTTCCAACTCCACGTGGTGCTGATGCATTTTATTGTTTTGTACGAGCCGGTATTCCAAACACTTCCAAACCGAGCCGTACGCATTCCATTCGCTCCAGTAGGCCGTCAGGCTTCAGCCGGCACCGAGTCACCTCCACCATGCGAGAGAAGAAGAAGAAGAAGCTTTCACTCAAATGAAGAAGCCAACAGAAGAAGTCACCTCCACCATTCTTTAGTTTAATCTCCGCATGGTTTTTTTATGATTGGCTCGCATCTCACCACCCCATCCTGATGCTAGTGTTCATGCACAATATGTTGCACCATTGGAGGTCATGGTGGGAACAGCACTTATATATCATGAGATGTCAAGCAATACCGAGCACGCCAATGCCAATTCTGTGCTTTACTGTGTTTTGCTTGAAGAATTGGATTAATTTCCTCTCAACCTTCCTGTGATCACTTTGCAGGTATCCATTCATCAAAAGGAAACATCAAACACATCCACCGTGCCTCCTGGAAGCCATTCCAGGAATCTCACCAAATTTTTCACCATCCAACCCCCCGCAAAAACCCAGGCTCCCAATGGCCTTTGGTCGCCTGTCGAAGACGCAGATGGCCTTTGTGATCATCTTCGCCGCTTTTCCCGCAGCGGCCTCCAAGGACATGTCCGTGCTCCGGCACGTTACAGTGCCACGGCCGTCACATCGGTCAAAAACCATCACAGCGGCCCTGACGCGCACGCCAGGGTGATGTCAGTGGTCACATGTGGCCACCACCCGGTCGCAGAAGCACCAGGGCCCAGGATTTCCGGCGAGAGTTGCTGTTGGCTTGAAGGGTTCAAGGGCTTATTGAAGCCAATAGCCAAGACAAAGGGTGCAACGTGCGTGCTTCCCGAGCAAGTGTCTCTTAATGTGGTTGTTTTTTTCACTGAAAGCATGCTGCTTTGGGAGCCGAACATTGGCCAAACTCCTTGCCTATATGTTTAGGTTCACCGAACGCATGTATTTGCATAGTGCTTGCGACGTCATCCATCCCCTTTCGTTCCAGGGGTCAGAACGTGAGTGTTGGAAGAGGTCGGTGCCCGTGTAACCTCTATGAGCTTCGGAACAGGTCGCGCGGGTGAAAGCTACGTTTTGGCGCTGCAAGCGCAATGCGTGCTGTTCCTCAAGCGTTGGTCAACCGTTGGTCCAGTGGGGTCCTGGGTTCGCACCAAGTGCACAACTGCTGTGTGCACACGGGCGACCACGAAGCAATGTTTGTTCGAACCAAATTGTTACTTTTCCAAGTCTGGTCGAAGGAACGTCACCACTTCACCCCTGGCGCTGTGTGTTGTGAAACACATCTCTTTCAAGAACAGGTCAACCACTACAGGAAGTTCTTTGTTTTTCTATTTGCAGCTTGACCAGACTGACCAGATTTGACAAATTATTCCAAGTCGTCACTCACCATGCAGCTGACGGGGTTTCCAATTGCTCCACAAGGATTTTCTGCTCAGCCCAGGTGGTCTCCTTTTTCAGTTTGGCCTTCATGGCCAGTTTGGTCGTGGCTCGGCGGGGTGAGCTACATGGTCATTCAACAGCCAGTTTGGATCACGTGCCCGGTTCGGAGCCATTGCTAGTAGAGGCTTATCGGAGCATGGCTCCGATGAGTCTCAAAGGTCACTCCGGTGAATCAGACTGCTTCATCCAAACTAGCGAACTCCTGGGGTCTTTTCGGAGGGAAGTGTGCGGTGGCTAGGGTAGGTTGTGGAGGATAGCTCAACCACCAAGGTCCAAGGTATTTAATTGGAAGACCACCAAGGCTGGACGTTCACTGGTTCGATTGGTTCGATGATCATCATCACCGTTCGAACCAATCATCGCCCCTCCTGACGTTTGATCGTTTTGCGGTGCCTGACGCCGAAAGACCGGGGCAAGACTCAGCTTTGTAAGACTTCCTCTATAAATACCAAAGGGCATGTGACATGTGTGGTTTCTTTCTTCGGACGGTTCAGTCTAGAGTTCAGTGTTTCGGCAATCTGCTTCTGGTAGACAGAATCTGTGCAGATGACACTTGCAGACTCAAGACTTCTTTGTGGTGCAACTCCGGATTGTGTACTCAAGCTTGCTGAATTGTGTTAATTATTGGAGTTTTTTCCACCCCGAATTGAAAGCCATTGCGCAGTCACCTCTATCCTTTGCACGACATCGTCCGTTTGGTTTGGACCGAACACCGGAAGTTCCGCAAGGTGAGTAGTGCGGTGCATGAGCCAAACGTGGAGGAGATCTCTGTGATCACCTCCGGGACGTCTGAGACTTGCTGTCGATTAATCCATTCTGAGTTGGTGGAAGTTTATCCAGTTCTGATTCTGATATGATGTTTGTATATGATGAAATTTATGAGCAAGAACACTCACTCACTCTATCTTTTTTGCTTTGTAAGTTTTTTTCAGCAAGGCTTGTCACTACATTCTTGGAAATCCGAGATCAATGGCCCACAATCCCTGGCCCACAATCCCTCGTTGGTCAATGTGATCAAGAAATGAGATGTGGTTCTTTGTAGACCAGAGCCTCCATGATGTTTGTTTTTGTGAATACAATTCTAACTGTCAACAAGCTGCTCTCTGCGAAACCTGCTTCCCAATTTCTGCAACTTACAGTGTTTTGTGTAACTATTTCAGGCAGTGCAGCAGTTGTGGCCACTACAGAGGGACCATAGATGGCAATGTTTTGACAAATCCATGATTTGCCGCCATACTGAGGAGAAGATCTGGTATGTCCTTCCACAGACATGGCCGCTTGTCACTCACTTCGAGGGAGCCCAAAAAAAGGCGATGGTCGCTGGCATCGGTTTTTCCCACTTGTTACCTCTTGTTCCGGTCCAAAAAGCCGTTGGCCGGGTGAATTTGGAGCGTCAGACAGGGCGCCTGGTTGGATCCATGGTGTTCGAAACGGATGGGGAGACTGGGTGGGACATGACCAGAGGTGGGACTGGGTGTACATGTGGCCCATGACCAGCAACAGTCGGTGTACATGTGTATCATGGTTTTTGAGTCGAAAGAGAAAGGACTTTACTAACTACTAACCATCATCCATTGTTGCTGGTAATGGGATATGTGAGATCATCATGTTCAGAAGCGGTGCCCTAGTGGTTCACCCGGTGATGACCGCGGGGACATTCACACGATGTTGTCGTTAACTGTTAATGTGTATAGTACTAGTATGTTTGTTTGCGCAGGATTTAAGAGAGAAGCACAGGTTCTTTCTAATTAGCCTGTGTATACTGTTGTATACAGGGATGTGTTGTTGATCTCTGAGTGGGACCATCATGTGTTGAAATGTTATCCGAAAATAGGTCTGCGACGAAGCCACACCGTGGATTCCAGAAGACAGCATTTTGACTGAAAGCAATGTGGCCTTGAATCGAAAGCACTGAATTCAAAAGCAATACACCCGACCATGAGATGTACTGGTATCATGTAGCTTGATGTACATTATGTACTGATACCAGTACTCAAAACAGCAATGTGTTGTACTGGTGTCATTTAGTCGGATGTACTGATTGATGTTGCCCAATGCAAAGCAATACATAATTCTGGCCATCGATCCTCGACTACCAAGCTCATGCTGAGGTCCCTTCTTATCGTGGGTGAACTGGTTCTACCAAGAATCAAGGGCAATTCATGCTGCCACCAAGCAAAGAGGGAATTGTGGAAAGTAAACACATGGTCCAATGGTAATGGGATGTCGTGGGAGCCTATATATATAATATTATATAATGTATATATAGATGCATATACTATTCACACACCACTCTTGGGGTTGTGCTGGTGCCATTTGGTGCCTAGTTTTGCACAGCTTGTGTATTCTAGGCCTGCACGTTCAACCTGAAAAGGGATTTGATATACGCAATCACACCTCCCGCTACGCAATTCTGGTCTGACATCTTTGTAAGTAACACTTGTCTCAAGGTCTCAAGGACCAGGTAGGAACTCTCCCACCAAAAAACAACGGATCGCCAGATCTCTTGTTGGAAGGCAACAACAAACTTCTCTGAGAAGTCGAGACCGCAGATGTCAACTCCACCGACAGAGCAGATCTATTTGGGGGTGGGTTTGGGCTCCAGGCGTAGCGAACGACCTGAAAGAGGTCTATGTCCCTCCTGTTTGCTCCAGGTCCTTGGTCCTGAGTGCCTTGTACTGTCAGCATGTGGCGATCCCGGTCTACAAGCAGCTGGGAACGAGACCGAGCTGGGCAGACAGACGTGGAGGTGGTGGATGTGTTTGTTGGTGGAGCAGGTAGGTATCAAACCACTCGAGGTATCCGTTCCGGGGGGTGCAAAGAAGCGAGTGCTCCCTCAAGTTCGGTGGCAAGCTCATGCCGACTCTAGTCACACTCCGTGCCGTTAAGGGGTGTGTTTGAGGGTTGTTTCCTTTTGGCGTGTGAGAGTGACACAATCACAAGTGTGAGTGGTGTGTTTTTGTGTTCTTTTCCATAGCCGTTTGACATGAACAAATTGTCAAACGTAGTAGGTAATTAGTATTGATTGCTAGTTACCTAATTAGATGGGTGTAGTCATTTTTGTTGCGTTGATAATATGATAATCTACATGAAAGTTTGTGTGCTTTACTTTTCAACTGAACCCGGTACAACATTAAAGTGAGAAAGCCGTCACATTTCAAGTGGAGGGTAACCGAGGGTAACGACATGTGTCGTAGAAGTTCATCAGAGGGCCGTATCGCAGCGCATTAGTCTGAGGCAAATGAACAACTTCAACGGCCGCCGCATCAACAAGGCTCCTGCTTTCGGGCTGTGAACCTCAAAACCAAAAACCAGCGGAGTACAATGAGTGCAACTCCCAAATGCATATTGAAACCCTAAACCCTAAACCTAAACCCTAACCCAGAATGCCTTTTTTTGTGATTTGTGTCCTTCTGTCATGTCTTGGGTACCGTTATACCTCCATCCAGGAATAGAAACATTCACTCTCGTTGCTTTCCCTTGGTGCACCAATACACTTGCACCAGAAGTCTTACCTGCGGAGTACCCAAAGCTATGTCCTTTATTGATTGGATATAATATATGATATATGATATGTTGTGCAGAAAAGCTGTTCCCTAATCACCAGAATTAGAACCTTGAGCTGCTTGGTTATGCGCAGTGAAAACACCCTGGGGCCTTCCACCCTTGGAACCAGCGGATTTGGGAAGTTTTTTGTTTTTTGTGTTGCCCGCAAGCACTGTAACGAGCCACAGCACTTGTTAACCATGGCACGTGCTCAACAACGTGGATTTGCGCTGTCTTCATCCAATCTTGTTGAATGACCATGCCATCAACCACCTTTGCAAGTGTCGTTCGAGCCTGAACATCGCCGGGTCGTTCCGTGTTTTGTTGTCGGGGCTCATCTCCTGGCCCGCGGAGCCCGGCGCGGCGCGCACCAGCGATGAGAGGTGCTGTTGCGGTCGTGTACCTCCCTTTCCTTACTCTATGCCTTGGTGGCGACCTGTGGAGTGATGGCCCATGGAGCACCTGAGCTCAAATCAGTCAAACCGGCCATCCTCCAGGTCAGCATGTACAGCTGATTGTTTACGAGAGGATTCGGTTCATGGTCAACCACAGTCTGGGGTGTACACCCAGCCAAACTTGATCAAACTTGCTTTGTTGGGTTTGAGCGATGAAAACACCTCAGCTGTTTGCGAAGGCCAGAGTTGCACTCCTCCACATGCATCCTGAGGCAAAGACTCCCGAGAACATCTTGTTGGCCTATCCCAGCAGCCACCAAGCCGCATGGCTTGCGCAGCTTTTGACTGGTTGCTCTTTATTGATCCATGGCACAAGAAGAGAGGGCAAATGGCGTCGGACGGGCAAACGCGGACTTCAGAAATGGGATTCCAGTGTAACAGCGGCAGCTTTCATTCCTTTATTAATCTTTTAACTTATGACATCTTATGAATACTGCTCTGGTACGTGATCCTCCATGTACATGTTGCAAGTCAATGCATAGGATGCGCAACACCTCCATACCTCCACCCAACGCGCCACATCCCAAGTTGCTCGCGTCTCAACCTCTGTGGTGTTCGCTGCAGGATCGCCCTGCCGCTGGGCGTGCAGCCCGCGCGGGACCAACTTCCTGAGGTCCTCTACTCGATCCGATCCCTCACAGGTCGGGTCCGGACGGTTCCGATCGTGTTGGTGGAGTAGGTGGTCGGGTCATTTGGTCGGGTATTCGGTCGGATGCCGTGAGGGTGCCAAGAGTGACTGGAGGACAGCTGGAGTAATGGTTTTTGAGAGCTGGCAGAGCTGGGGGGCGGCACAAGAGTTTGTCTCAAACAAAGACTGTTTGATGGAAGTGTTGCTTCTGAGGACCCCCTCCTGTTTTGAGACAGGCACCTGTTTGCATGACTCATGTGTTCCTTCTTGAACAGTGGCAAAGGGTTTGCACCCAGAGCCCATGAAGACACTGCAAGTGGAGAAAGGCACTGACAGGTTTTTAGGTGCTTGCAACAGGTGAAGATGAGGATTGCAGAGGCTAGAATATGAGCATTGAAAGAGCAAAGGCATAGCTCGCAGGGGAATCACGTTGAGTTGCTCCGTTCATTCAGCATAATTCAGCCAGAACACGCACCATGTTGTGCAATCAAAACACTCTTCCAAGCTGGAATGGAGTTGTTACAGTGGTATGGTGGTTCATGGAGGGGCCCGTGTTTTCATGTGATTATATACACTTAATTATACAAATACATAAATAAATGCAGTACTCAACTCACCACTCACGGTAGAACACCACTTTTTTGTGGGATTTGGGACGTCAAGATTTGTCAACATGTGGTTTATCTTAAAAGAATAAACACATGAAACTACTGCATTACAAGGACAAAATGGACTTTTATGTCTTGAAAAGTATTGTTTATTGCATTGTTTGTTATCCATTATCCATACTATAAGAACATATAGGAACAATACGGTATTATGTTTCTCTGCAGATGTTTTAATTGTTCCTGTTCCAAATTCTGTGTGCTCTCTCAGAGTTTTCTGACCAGGTCCACACACACTACACAAAAAGAGCAAACAATTTTGTAATCCCAAAAGCCTCAAGGAGTTCTAGAATCAACTGTGCAGAGGTTCATTTCGTCAAGGTGCTTTGTTTTGCCTCACCTCTCTCCGAGACCTCAAACAGCTCAAAACAAGTTTGAGCCGGTCTACACATGTTTTACACAACATGTAACATGTCTAGTAACATGTCTATCATATTTCCACGGTTTTGGGTCTGACATTCCACACCTGACACCCTCACGCTGCATGCCTTGTCTCTCGCACGCAGGCGCTCTCCACTCCTTGGGTCTCCGGCTCCTCTTCGGCCAGCGACCTCAGCGCACGCCCAGCGTCTCGGAGCTGGAGTTCCCCGTGGAGAACGTGAGGCCACCGACCGGGCCACTGCGAGTGCTTCACACCGCGGTGTCTCGGAACGATGGGGCGCTCGCGCCCCGTTTGACACGACGGGGTCGCACTGGTGATGGTGATGGTGATTCTTCTGGGATTTGCTGGAGGGGGGTTATGTTGAATTTCGGAAGGTTGTGGTGGGTGAGACGTAGTTCGAAGATGATTCCAAGGGCTTTTGGTGCCATTGACACTCACACTGGGCCATCGTTTGTCCAGTTTGCAACCAGGCTAACGGCTGATCTCAGTGCAGGTGTTCGGAGTGGTGGCAACTCTGAACACCTGCACTAACAAAGAGCTGGCATTGGATGCGCCGCCCATGTCTTTGACTCTACTACAGCCCCCGTTTATAGCCCCTAGAATCCCCATGAAAGCCACCCCTTAGGGGCCCTGGTACCTTTGAAAGACTTTGAAAGTGTAAAGCAACACCTTTTACCCTCCCAAGGATTCCGCGCTTGACAGCCCTGCCCCCCAACAACGCCAGGACATGCGTATTACCAATGGTGCGCAAAGAACATACCTCACTACATTCTCCAACGTTCTCCGAAAAGTGTGTTGATCATGTACTCGTACATAGTACCAAGAGCAAGCCTCTGAATCTGAACAGCACTTTGCTACGGTCTCAGACTCGTCACCAATGGGTTTCCAAGCCTCCATCCTCGTTATTCCGGCACCGGCCATCAAGGTGATCATGTCTGTGGCAGCTTCTTTGGCATTGATCTTCCCCAACGTCACCTCGAGCCTCGAACTCACAGGGAGATGGTCTTTTCCAACGTCGCCTCCAAGAAGGGCTCTAGCCCGAGACCGGGACATTTTGGATCGAAGCGTCAGAAAGGTCTGTGGAGCACTGGGGTTTTGATGTGTGGAACTTTTGCGCCAGTTGGTTGCCAAAGCCGGATTGCCCAGCTATGAGAAACGTTACTATACACTTTGATATTTGCGCAAACAGATCATGCCAAGATCTTATCCTGGATATGGATATGTTGCTCAATTGAAAAGTCGAAGATTTAGCTGCCAGGCTTCTAAGTTCAATCAGAAATAAAGCTCATTACGAGGCATCGAACCCCACCCTCTAATTAGCTGGCCTTGAACAATGCTCTACCACGAATCTGGATTTGGCCTTTTAAGGCATAGGCTGAACCTCAATGTAGGTGAAACAGTTACCTGTCTAGAACTGCCAATCCCTGTGTACTGAAAACCACTATCACTTCTGCGCAGCAACTGCAGTCCGCTATAGCTATATAAGCTTTGCATTGCATCTTTGGTCTCCCCGGTTCCGAGATAGTGTCTCCCTGGTGTTTGAACATGTTTGAACCTCAGGATTGTTGGCATTGCCACGGGATTCGGCTCGGTACTTTGGACCTTCATCATGCCCATGGTCATGATCCTCATCCTCAGGCGCCAGGAAGACATCAGGACGACGGATGTCGGACGAGCCAACGGTGACCAGGAAGGAGGTTCGGACTCAGACTGCATCCGATCGCAAGGGTTACGTCAAAGAAAATGACCTGGCCCCTTCCAAAGTACCTTAGAAAATGGGACATGACCCTATACAAACACATACGTGTACCCAGATTTCTGTGGTACTTTGAGACTCCAGGTACCCGCTTGCTATATCTTTCTATCTTACCACCCAGGTCCAAACCTCCATTCAAGAAGCATCATATGCTTGGATTTGACCATGACCAGTTGACACCAAGAAACCACCTTCACATTTTGGGAGGAATACAAGGAATAGTTACATATAGTGACATGATGTGACGGGTCACGTACAGTGGATGTTGGGCGTGAATCGCTCTCTTGGGCGATGGCGTGCGACTCCGAGGCACCGGGCGGCGCATGGGAAGATCGACGGGGCGCCCCTGCACATCCCGGGTCTGGGCAGCTCCAAGCGGGAGAGGCGTGGGAACTCTTTTTCTTCTCCGGTGGAAAGGTAGTCTACTGGGGCAGGAGGACGGTCATATACGCGATATACGGTCTGCATCTTCTAGACTTAAGGTTAAAGGTGCTGGGAGTGAAGAGTGAAATGGCATTATTCTTCCATGTCGATGTGTATGTGGTTCTTTTTAGCTTGAGGGGACTCCATTTGTGTGTGGAATTTTGAATCAAACACTCGAAAAACGCTTGGTTAGATTGTCCATTGCTGAGATCTCAAAGTGTGCTTGCAGGTTTCACATTGGATCATTTGTTGGTCTGATGCCTACCATATTCCTACCATAAATTCCACCGCAACATTCTGCATTATATTATATGCAGGACATGTTGACTGACCACTCGGCTGGCGCCCAGATCCAAGTCGAGTGCTTTTGCAGCCCTTTCTTTTGCAGCCCTTTGCAAACGCACAAGCTTCTCATTCTCATCCATTTCACGGGATGTTCGATAAGGACCACAAAAAGAGTCCATGTCATCACAGGTCAGTCAACCGCCCACGTCTCCACCTTCAGCCTCTCCTTCCTCTACCCTGCGCATCTGCGCACCTGGGAGGCTCTTGAACTCCCCCTTGGCCTCGCCGACGTGGTCCCCACGCAACTCGCAGCGCAGCTCGCCCACGCTCTCTCCGGCGCCCAGCGCCACATCGCTCACGGAGGTCCCAAACCTGGTGCTGGAGGCCCAGGAGGACCCCCGGGAACCGGTGACGTTGGAAGACCGGAACACACATGGAAACATACGTATGAACACGAAGTAAGGAATAAGTAAGGTAAGTAGGGCCAGGCATGCCTTTTTTGTGTTTGCTTTGAGGTTGAACGTAGATGTGAGATACATCGGAAGGTTGAAGCCTTACAATCCCTGCAGATCTTGTTTCAAGTCTAAGACAAGAGATCCCACACAAGCATTCAAAACATGTTGAATGCAACAGCTGCATTTTTGCAACAGTACCATGCTTGACGTGGACATACAGAGACTTGATTCTGGGGTTTGCTGTGTTTCAGGACATTTGCATGCAGATCGAAGAGCCTGACAGTGGTCACTCGATGCAAGATCAATGCTGGACGGCAATGGAGGGCCACTTCTTCAACAGCCAAGCGGTGTCCCACGATTGGCCAAGAAGACCCAAGCGCTCAGGATATGGTTTAACCATGTTTAACCGTTTAACCCAACAACCAGACTGGTGGCATACCAAAACGGAGAAAGCCAAGCGGTGTCCTACCAAAGTGAGGGACTGTCATATGGTGCGAGATGGTGATATCAACGGCTCCGTCAAGGGGATGGGATGGGAATGGAAAACCTTTTGTCAAACCACTCTCAATACTGTGCTCCACAGGTATGGTTTTGTTGCAAGGGATGTGCTTTAGGGATCAAGGATTTTCCCTGCAGCTTTCACCTGTACTAAATGCTATAGCTATCATATAGGCTACAACATGCTAGAATAAAACATCCCTGACAAATTCAACACAAACATCCCGCCGGGTTCGTTACATGAAATCGATGAATGGAAGCAGACATAGCCCAAAAGCACAAACCCTTAACGAAGCCTTCCAGCACAAACATGAAGCCACATGAAAACATGACCCACCTGCCGTTCTCCTCGTCGTTTCACGGCATGCCGTTGTCCTCCTCGGTTCCTCGGTTCCGAACGACGTCGCAGGGCTCCGTGTCAGGCTGGACCAGCACCGTGCTGCACAGCTCCACGCGCGCCGAGACGGGCGGCACCGGTGGTCCACCCGGGCTCCACGGACCGAGTGGGGGACCGAGACGGGTCGGTATGGGTCGGGTGGGGTTTCTGGGGGTCGACGGAGAGAGTGAGTAGAGAGTGAGTAGAGCTGGTACACAGGTGTTTCTGGTGGTTTATATCTGATCGTTTCGGGGATGGTGAGATTACACCCCTAATCTTCAAAGGCTCAGTTTAACTTCGACGTTGTTTCTGTCTATGTTTAACCAGGTTAAACTTTGTCGTTCTGCGGAGTCTGTTCTGTTTAAGACAACTAACATGAGTAAAACTTAGACGCACTGAGGTGTACAAGTTTAACTTCGACGTTTCTCATTGGCTAAGTTAAACTTCGACGTTGGAAGTTCTGGGATACTCTGAAACCACTGTATACGGTGTGTGGGTCACATGAGTATACATGAGTCACATTTGGTCATGTGGGAGCTAGGACGTGCAGATGGTGAGCTGGGTGCGTGCCTTACTCAACCCGAGTCAGGCTCCGAGTCACAAAACCGCTCTAACATTGGAAAGTGGAGGGCCAAGGATGTTTCCACTGAAGAATGCCAAGGTGAGGGGCCAGGAGGTTTGCTTCGCAAAGTCAACCTCGCGTTTAGTGAAGCTATAGGCTTCTTTTTGAGTTGAACATATCCACCGGGAAGACTCCCTGGGTGGGATAGCTATATGTAATATGTCCAGATGTACCCTAAAACTGTATGAACTGTGAGTGATTCTTGGATGTGGGGTGCTTTTCAGGTTCCATGTTAATTTTCCGCAGCGTATAGAAACTGATGAAACCCACAGACCTTGCTCGTTTAAAGTTTGGAGCAATACTACCGGCCGTTTCCTACAGTCAACCATCCCTTCAGTGTATTCTTCCGTTGTGCTGGAATTCACCCACAAGTCTTTCAGGGCAAGTCTACTTCAGGAACCCCACAAGTCTTTCAGAGCACGCGCTTCCATGAAAGGATCGTTTTACCTTGCACGCTGCCACGTATATGTCAGTTTGTTTGGTGCATCACTTCCACGTATGTTTTGAAGAGTTATTTCAATATTTCAACCCCATGAACCAAACATGTTGCTCTGGTCTCCATTGCGAGCTTATCGCGGCCCGCTATTTCTCGATCAGCCAGCCAGCCAGCCGGCCGGCCGGCCGGCCGGCCAAGAACCACGGTCCAGCTGGCCGGCCGGCCGGCCGGCCAAGATCCACGG